AATGAAAGCCGCAATCACATCTGTGTGCAAATCTCAGAAGAGCACTAATCAATAATTAAATTAATGGCCAGATTAATGTCTGGCTTCTTTACACTTAATGATATGCAAAAGCATAGTTTTTCAAAATAAAACACACATGTGTATTATTTTGGGCTATAAAAATTATTAATTAATGTTTAACTAATTATTAATTATTCTAGGTTATAAAAATTATTTGGGGACATAAAGAATGACCATCGAAACACAGATTGTTAAACACACATCATGGCTGCACTCACCGGCTTGTTGACCTTGTCTACCCTTGGGCAGCCGAGGCTCTGCTTCTTACCCTGCCCTTCAACGCCAACTTTCATGCCAGCTGTTCTCACTCTTACCCCATCGTGACATTAGGCCAAATTCTTGTAGAGGACTGTGCCATGCGTTACAGGATGTTCAGGGGCGTCTCTGACCTCTACCCACTGCACGCCAGTGGAACTCCCACTAACAGGTCATGAGAGCCCAAAATACTTCTGACCATTACCAAATGTCCCTTTGGGAGCAAAGCCCCCCCACCACGAGGAGCGCTGGTCTGTACATCAGCCTCATCTCTTCTCCATCCAGACCACGAGTTATGACCCACATGCATCCTAATATCAGGAGAGAAAATCACATTTTGCAACTTGTATTAAACATTTATGTTCTTTAAAAATTTTCCCAAACTATTTCCCAACCTAATGAACAAACTCCCACTTCTTTAGAACATGAGCTGGTCTGTTTTTCTTTCCAGGCAGTACTTCTCAGGCCCCTTCCGGAGCTGTGTTGTCAAGCTGGCATTTTGTGAGGTCTGAAACTGTCTCTAAGACGCTTCCCACTTTGGCTGAATACTCGCAGGGATCCTTTGCAAACCTTGCAATTTGTAAGACGGGCGAGAAACTGCAGCTGCCTGTCTGTTCTCACCCCAATTTCTTTTTATTCATATCAATGTTACTAGAATTTGAACTTGTAATCTTTAGCCAAGCACTGCTCCACACATTCCACAGAAGGGTAGATTCTAGACCCCGGGGAAGGCTCCCACAGCCTGCCTCACCACGGCAGGGTCAGGCAAGAGGCTAGAGATGTGGCAAGCCCAGGACCGGGCTTCCCACCCCCCAGATGGGACATTTTCTCCAAGGTAACCTCTACGCCCTTGCTTTCCCCTCTACAATCCTAAAAGCTTAAAGTAAGGGCTAGTGGCTTTTCTGGAAGCAAGAGTCTGGGAAGTCACAACAAAATCTCTTCATTAAAAATCAGAAAGAGCTTCAGAAGGAAGGCTGCACGATCAACAGAAAACCAGGCGGTTCGTGGAGACGTTGCCCGGGTGAAGACACTCGCAGACTTGGGACTTCCTCAACCAGTGAATGGCTCTGAAAGGGTTTCCCCCAACTTGACAGAGATGAGGCATCTGTCGGCCAGTCTGTCTGTCTATCTATCTATCTATGTATCATCTATCGTCTATTTCAGCACAAGTTGTCCAAGGTTCTTTTGGAACCAGGCTTTTTCCCCCACAGTATTTTGAATCAAACTTGTTGTGCAGGGGAGAAAAGACTTTGTTGCTTGCTGTTATCATCTGTCCATCTCCTCAGCAACCCACTGCCCCCCTTCCATTTATCTACCCACCCACCAACTCAGCCATCCAGCACTCACCCACACACAACCCACTCACCATCAATCCTTCCAACTGTCCAATTGTGAATCAGCAATTCATCGAGTGGCTTCTTCATCACTTTCGTGTGATTTCTGTGCCGGGCATGGTGATAAAACTTAGATGTGCAGAGGTGAAATAGATCAAGTTTCACCGTCACGGAACTCAGAGTTCCAGTGGGGACCATGCCTACATACACTGAATTTAAGACTGCCGCTGTGTGTCTGCATTAGGAGAATTAGGCATGGATACTGTGAGATGATCTATCAGGATCTCTCCTCATACCGTGCTTGGAAGAGGACGTCTTGTTTAGTGAAAGTTAGGCAACTGCCGCACGTGGATGCCGTTGGCAGGAGAGCAGGGGAGCAACTTCTAGACCTCACGCCCGGTTCTACCGCATTCCTATGCCCACTTTCAGGCCCTTGTGGTTACTGTGGGAAGTTCAGGCACCTGCCTTCTCAGGAACAGACAAGATTATCCACTCCAGACTGTTCTTGCGGCCAATTTGCTCGGAAAGCCCAGTGATTTCTTCAACAGAATTGAATTTGGTGAAGGAAAGAAAGGAGTCACAATTATGTTGAGAATTCAATTTAACTTTCTGTAGAAGTAGTCTCTAACAGAGCAACTAATTGAAAGAACATCTTCCTTGTTGAAAAGCAAACTTGCCAGAGTTCAGTAAAACCTTAAAATCTAAGTCAGTGTGAACATAATTTATCCCAGGCAGTTTAGCAATATCCACCAGCTTCTTAAGTATTTCCTGGATCCCCACCAAGTAATATTTCCTTAAATAGTCTGTGAAATTGCCCTGTTAGCACATCCCTTCCAGCACTGCTGTTATCTTTTAGTCTTGGCCAATCAAACGAGAAAGGAAATGCATGCCCATTAGTGCTTTATGCACAATTTTATGATTTTCAAAGATAAATCAGGTTCCATTGGTTTATTGTCCATTTAGATTTCATGATCAATACATTTTCTTATTGATCATTGTTAGCTATTTTTATATCAGGTTCTGTGGCTCTTTTAATATGTAGAATATTTTTATTAAACACTTTCTAAATTTAAAAATATCTAATTTTTAAAACGATCACTACACCTTTCCTCTCTCTCTCTCTTCCTCCCTCTTTTATTTTTAGAATATGTTATCTCTTACAGTTTTTTTTAAGTTCATAACAAAATTGAGCAGAAGGTACAGAGAATTTTCACAATTGGTCCCCTTGCCCCAACATGTGTAAACCCTCCACCCCAACACCAATCAAGACCGACACCCTCTCCTGGTGGAGTGTTTGTGTCCATTGAGAAGCATCTTTCTTATTCAAAGCCTCTACATTAGTTTTTCAATGTTTTACAGCATGACTCCTGGTGTCGTATGCTCTATTGTTCCGATGACTTTTGATGAAGTGTATCCACCATTACATATCACACGGGATAACTTTGCTGTCCTAATGACCCTCCCTGCTCCATTTATTCATGCCTCTCCCTGCCAGCCCCTGGCAACCCCTAGTCCTTTTGCTACATCCTCGAATCATGTGCAGAACCAAAAATTCCCACCAGTTGGATTCTGGTCTACCCTCCCCTCAGCTTACTTTTGCCATGATCCTCTCCACCTTGGGGATGGCAATCATGTCTTTACAATTATCTATAAAGAACATTCAAACTCTAGTCACCAACAATGTTCCTAGTGTCTTCTGCAAGTTCATCCTGGAGACAACCTTTACAGATTATACACAGTGACCAAGAGCAGACATAAAAGCTATGCTCACGTCCCAGCAGCACTGCCTGCTTGTCCACTGTCAGAGTGAATTAGGATGGATCTAGTTTTTCTTGCTAAGAAGCCAGCAGAACAACCCAGAGAACAACCAACAATCAACCTGGTGTTATGCACAGCACTGCTGACCTTTGGAGATGCCAAATCCCCTGGACTACAGGAGGAAGGACAGCTGGCAGGCCATCCTGAAGGAATTCCTGCAAAGAGGGTCAAGACAGAGGAATGTCCCTGGAAACTGGGCCAGGCAGAGCATGTACAATGAAGTTTTAACATTTGCCACAGCTTTAGCAATAGGAATGTTAAGTACTAGAGGTCATATGTCAAATGAAATAAGTCAGGCACAGAAAGACCAATACCATATATTTGCATTCATTTGTGGAAATGGAAAGCTTGATCTCAAAGAAAAAAGCAGAGTGAGAGTCACCAAAGATTAGGAAAGGGAGCGGGCAGGAATGGAGAGAAGTACGATCCCCAGCCCAGCAGGGAGGAGGGATGCGTTTCTGTGTTTAATATCACAGAGGGCGACTGTAGTCACTTCAAAAGAACTAGAAGAGCCTCTGAGTTCCTAACACACAGAAATTAAAAGTGTTTGAGGAGATTGAATAACTAATTAGCCTGATTTGGTCATCACATATTGTATACACACATCAAATTATTGTGCTCCACAAAAAATGTACAATTATTGGGGTTGGCAGTGTGGTGTAGTGAGTTAAGCCACCAAATGCAACACCCAACATCCCAAATCAGAGGGCCAATTCAAGTGCCACTCTCACTTCAGTTCCAGATTATTTTATCTGTATCTATCTATCTAGTCATCTTTCCCTTTCTGTCACTCTTTCAAGTAAATGCATTTTAAAGAAATCACAATTAGTATACATCACTTTTAAAATGTACTATTAGAAGGTGACCTCATTTTCATTCTGGATTTACTTAGTCCAGGACATCCAAAGCTCTCTGGGAAGAGAGGTGTCTCCGTGGGGTGGGAAGCATGGGAGCTCCCACAGACAAGAACTCATGGGGGACCACAGGATGGGTCACTTCCTCGGGCCATGAACCATCCAGCACAACAGAGTAAGTGCATGGTAACAGTTTGATCTGTGTACATTCTTGGTTAATCAGTATTTGTGTCATACGATATTTTAAATTTCCACCAAAGTGTAAACTTCTCTGCTAGAGTCATGACTTTTGAAAGTGAATGGAATTTTCTGAGCTCTTTGCTGATTGGCATGGCCCAGTAACCCTTGGATGCATGTCAACTTGGGAAGAGAACTGCTTGGGCCATGGTTTAAAGGGTACCTAGCAGATGGCTTGGCAGCTCCTTACAAATAGGCAGCATTTGGATATGTGCCATTCAGAGTCCAGGAGTGGGTGGGGAGATATGACTCCTACTCAATTCTTGGCTCTGCCTGCTTGGCGCTCCAGATAGTTTCCTGCGAGGGTAGTGGCACAGTGAAGGGGATGCTGGCTGTTAGAAACAGGACACCATGAGCAAGCACAGCAAGCCAAGAACCTCTTAACAGTACAGCTCCTGTCCACCAGGCTGGGATGGCCACAGGTGGTCTTCACCACACCCTGTGCTTGGCTTGTTTCTAGCCCCTAACCCTGCTGATGACTCCTCTTAGCCAGTTGTGGTGCTGTCCAGGGTGAACAGGACACTGCATTTCTCCTTCTACATGGAGTGACCCAAGAGGAGGACCTGCTGCCCTGGACCAATTGAAGACTCATCAAAGTCCCGGGAACACCAGACATTTCTGCTGAGTGTGCAATCTGTTCCCAGCAATTTGATGTGTTCCCTGTGGGAGGAGAGACAAGTGGTGTTTGAGGCCCCACACTAAACTGCTCTAGGTCAGCCACAGTGAGCTCCCTGATGACATAAAAAGCTAAGACGTGATGGCATTTACACATTCTTGTCTGTCATCATTCGTCATTTCAAGGTCTCATTTTTACTAATTTCTGTCCTTTTATGCCCCCTCCCATATTTCCTAATTCTTAATGGGATTTCTTAGATTTTTTTAAAAAAGATTTATTTAATGGCTTGGGGGCAGATTTACAGACAAAAGAGACAGAAAGATCTTTCATCTGCTGGTTTAATCTCCAAATGGTTACAACAACTGGAGCAAAGTTGATCCAAATCCATGAGCCTCTTCTTTGTATCCCACATAGGGGATAGGGCAGGGTCCCAAGTCTTTGGGCCATCCTCCAGGGAGCTAGATAGGAAACAGAGCAGCTGGGATATACCACAGCACGCATATGGGATCCCAAAGCTCGTGGGGGAGGGGAGGCTAGTTAATTGAGCCATTGTACTGACCCCATTGGGGGTTTATTTCCACACAGAATTAAAAAAATCATCAAGTCAAAATCTTGAACTGGAAGCCAGTGAGTGTGTCCCTTCCTGAGCCAGTATTTGAAAAAAAGAAATAAAGTTGTTCCTCCTGACTGTGTAGCCATTGTTGTGTGGTTCAAACACTTGTTAATCAGAATGTAACTTTTTTTGGTTCCAGTAGCAATGAATTCTCAAATTATAATGAAGTCACTAACTCTTGCTGAGGGAGTACCATTTTCACTTGCTCCATTAAAGCATTATAATTGAGAGATTATATTTGCAATTGGGAACTTGAAATATGTCACTCTTAAAGCAGAACTTAGAAGCCTAAGCTTGAAATGAGTGGAAATACTCAGTTAAGGAGAATCAGAGCTGCCTAGAGTCACTGAGGAGTGTGCAGACATTAAGAAGTTCTTGAATTTTACATGGAAGACTCTTCTTCAAGCAAAGCCTCCAGACCAAAAATCAACAGCATTGGTTAATCTGGGAAATATTGGGATTATGCGAAAATTATTGCAGAGATGAGATTTTTTGGTTTAAGATTTATTTATTTATTTATTTATTTATTTATTTATTTGAGAGGCAAAGTTAGAGAGAAAAAGAAACGTTTCTGTCCAATGCTTTATACCCCAAATGACAACAACAGCTGGTCATGTTGGGCCAGGAGAAAGTCAGGGGCTAGGAAGTTGACCTTGGTACAGGGACCAAGTATGTGGGCCATATTCCGTGGCTTTTCAAGAGACCTTAGCAGAGCTGGATCAAAAGTGGAGTAACCTGATCTGGAACAGGCACCCAAACAGGGTGCTGACATGGAAGGCAGTGGCTTAACCGTTGTGCCATAATGCCAGCCTCCAGAGCCCATTTGCCATGGGAATTGGATGAAGACAATTGACCCTGGAGATGAAAAGAGCATGCAAATAGGCTCTCTGCTGATTTCCTGCTCAAGAAAATTGAATTAAACAGGTTGTACAAGCCTGTACATGACTGAATTTTTTAAAAATAAACTTTCTAAGAATGTTTTTGAATCTATAAATGGTATTTTGACCAGGAATAAAAAATTAAAAAGGTAAAGTTGGAAATAAAACATAAAATAAAAAATTGCTTGACTCTTCCATCTCAAGTCTGATAGCAGAAATGGTTTGAGCTGTGCAATCCATGTTGCAGGGGAGAGGTCTGCGACATTCTGTCTTGTTGGCATGGTTGGCTCTAGGCTGCAACAAATGGATGCCATCTTGCTGAAAGGACTTTCTTCTGAGAAAGCATGACACAAATGCACGATTGAAAGTCAGTTTTTGTGGCCAGCATTGCACTACAGTGGGTTCAGTTGTCACCTCCATGCTGACATCCAGGGTCAGGGTGCTGGTTTCAGTGTTAGCTATGCCACTTTCCAACCAGCTCCTGCAAATGCACCCAGGAAGGCAGCAGATGACAGCTCAGGAGGCTCGGCTCCTCCACCGAGGAGGAGAGTCCAGTCAGAGTCCAGTGGAGTTCAGGTTCTGGACCCAGTCTGGACCCAGTCTGGACCCAGTCTGGACCCAGCTCTGGCCACTACTATCATTTGGGAAGTAAATCAGAAGATGAAAGATCTGTCTTTTATCTCTCTATCTTTCCAATTCTCCTTTTCTCTATCATTCTGTCTTTCAAATAAATGAATAGCCTTTTTAAAAAGTAGTCAGTTCTTCTCAAACATGTAGTTCTTAGAGACTGAACTGGACTCAACTTTTCACCATTACAGTTGATTGGTTGCAAAGAGGTTAATGAAATGGCTGTTAGAGCTGCCTCTCCAGCATCTATGAAGGCGGTACAAACTGTGGTCCAAAGCAGGTAATTCTGAACAGTTATTCAACAGAAATTTTCAACACTGAGAATGTTTTCAGCAATTGCAGTATCAATGAGAGAAGCCACGTTCTTTGGGATGCAGGGACGAGGGTAAAGCCTGGCAGTTGAGGTTTTAGTTTCCATTTCCAGGAAGCATCATGTGAGATAAAAAGGTGCTTTCCAGGGTAGTTATCTGAAGAAGAAACCCAGACAGAAATTGGGCAAGGAGACCAGGAAGGCAGTCAGGCAAGCAAAGGTGGACTCTGGCCAGAGGTTAAAGCAGTGGACTTTGGCTAATGTCTCAAAGTTATTCCAATGAGGAGAGCTGGCCACAGGCTTATTGTGAGGCATATAAATGCCCGGCCTCATCTTTCTCTGTACATAAGCAATGGAGTCATGGCTTCTTTCTTCCAACAGGTACATGAAAATGACAAAAGACAGGGGAAACCAGCAGTGGCAATACATCAGACATGGTCCGTGGCACATTCAATGGAACATCTGGCCCATCTGATCTGATCTGCAAAGTCACGTCCCTGATTTCCAGGTGTTCCCAACAGTCTGAGAGCTGCAAAGCACAAGTGTTTCTTCTTTCTGCCACGGATGGAGCCCTAACTGCACAAAGGATCCAGCTAAACATACCCACATTTCCAGACTCCCTTGCAGCTAGAAGTGGCTGATGGAAAACTGCTCACCCTCCTTCTTTTTTGCATTCCTGCTTGATATACAGGTTGTGCTGTGACAGGAACCACCAAGCAGGAAGATGATGTCAACAACAATGACACTATGCCAGGATACAAAAATGAAGACAACTTAGTTCCTGGAGCCACCTGCATTAGCTCCCACCGGCTAAATTCCAAGTATTTATACAGGAGCAAAATAGATTACCAGTCACTTCCTTTTCTTTGTAGTTGAAAACATTTCTAACCAGTTCTGGTAGGGTTGGTAAAAATAAACAACTAATAAAATCAACTCTTTGTTTGTTTTTGGTCAAATTATAATAGGAACTGACCTTGAATGTTTGTCCAGCTCCACAAATACTGATTTGAACAGACAACGGTACAGGTCTAAATCCTTCCATTTGTGGTTGGATTGCTATTTTTCTTCAAGGGGAAAAATAATAGATATGACTTGGTTATGAGGAATGCATTCATTGTTCATCCAAATGAAAAGAATGGCTCACAGATTTGGTGTATTTTAACAGATGTTGAACACTCTTAATCAACAATTGCAAGGCAAAGTGGAATGTGTTTATTGCAGATGACAAGATCGTTGCCATGAAGATGAGCTGGGGAATTGGATGAAGACAATTGATCCTGGAGATGATTAATCACTAGAGACTCTTGGCTCATTTGCACAGAATGAGATGTACTGGTTTGCAGCAAAACAAAGCACACCATCCATTGTCTGTCCCCACTGACAAATGGTCTAGTGCCAGTGTAAGGGACTGACCAGGAGGGTGCTCCCACAGTATCTGCATCCTGTGAGCGGCAGCAAGTGTGGTCAACAACCTCCCACCCTGCCCAGACCCTGGTGTCCAGGAGAATAAAGCAATCTCCCAGTTCACATGTCCTCCATTTCCATGGACCTATCAGGGGCTTACACAGAGAGGGCGAGGGATCCCTCCAGCTTGCCCCATTCACAGTCACTGACATTGCCGCCATGGGGGTCCCAGCCTTGGGGCACTATTCTTCGCCTCTGCTGGCATTGCTGTCATCTCTTGTCAGCAGTTGCCTTCATAGCCATTATTTTTTAAAATGTGGATAACACTGTTGCCATTTGTCCATGGACGTTTTTGCATATCCTGATGTTCAAAAATATTAAACATATGAGTCATGCAATAGGAGGGGCTTGGACCTAGCTATTCCCAGTTCTGCCCAGATTTGGAAATGGGTAGACTGACTATACTTTCAATTCATCTTCTAACCAAAAAGGCAGGTCAGTACCCTTTAGTGCCCACTTCTCTGTATGATATGTTTAAGCTACTATTTTTCACATTAAAGCAAGTCTAAGTAATCATATTGCAGAATTCACTGCTACTGAGTGGAAACAAATTTCTGGGGGAAAACAGGAAAAACAATGAAAAGGAGATTACAACGTTTCTATCCAATTATCTCTTATTGTAGCGAAAAGAAATTGAGGTCCCTTGGGGTATGTGGCGAAATGCAGTCTTTGTCGATACAGAATTTTCCTTCAGATCTGGAAAAAAATGCGCACTGCATCTTATACTGATTTTAGTATATGAAAACCAGAAGAGTGGCATAAATGTTCATGAAGAAACAAGAATTACACAAAGGGGGGTAATGGTCTTTTTACATAACATTAAATTCCAGCTACTGTAATATTGGCCAGCAAATGCTCATTGGGTTGAAGTGCTCATCAGCGAACGGACAGCTCCAGTCTCCCACAGTATCTCTCGTGAATTAGAATCGTATGTCTTCGGTTCTTTCACATGTGGGACCCATAAAACCCACAGTTCTGAGTCTACATCTTTCTTTATGCAGTCTCTTGGAAAAGACAATGTTATTTTCCAAAACCATTGCTGGCATTATTAGTCACTTGTCTACAGGTGAAAAAATAAACCTCTATAATAAAAAATCAACTGTTTTTAAAACTTGAAATATAATATTGCTACAAGAAAACACAGAATGCCTTTGTGACCTTGGATCAGTCAAGACATTTTGAATACAAAATTTATGAACCAT